CGTACTGCTCTCGAACCAGGCGTCCCCCTTTCTGTATCTTTGCATTTTGTTTTTCGTGCCAAAGTATCTTGCCTTTGTCTCTTTTGAACTTCATTTTGTTAGTTTTGGCCCATCTCTCTAATCCGTCAAGATCATTTTGAATCCTGCTCCTGTCCTCTGGAGTATTGGCTATCCCTCCCAATTTGGTGTCGTCTGCAAACAGTCTTGCTAGTTAGTGACAGCTATATGACTCGGGTCCATCCACATGTTTAACCTGGTTTTGTTCTACATTAGGAAATGTTTGTGAACACTACTTAATTTAAACTGGGCCTGCTGTTCATATAGACCAATGCTGCTGGGGAAGGAAGTGGCACTTACCTTTTCCCCCCTGCCTTTTGCCAGTGTAGTAGCATCCACAGAGCCCCTCCTTTCCCTGAGCTGTGTGGATGCCTTTGTTGACATCAACAAAGGTACCTGGCAACAGCTAGAAGCTCTCTAGAACCCATGGATGCTGCCACAGTGACAAACAACAACAAAGGTAAGAGTGGCTGTTCAGTAGGCCGAATCAGGTTCAGCCCAACCGGAGAGTTGGAATTCTATTGTGTCACTGCAGTGAGATGGACACAGGTAGTGTAGATGGCCACCCCACATTATGTGGCCTATGTAGATGGTCAGTAAGGTGAATGTTGAAGGAAAAGGAGGAACAAAAAGGAGTAAAGTAAATCCTGAGAACATCAGTCTATAGACAAGGAAGCGATAGAGCAGAGGACACTATCCTTTCGTACTTTCTGCTCCTTGTAGGCACATACTTATTGTGCAAGTATAGTTTCGATTTTCTTCCAACACAACGTGGCAATTTAGAATGTATTGTGTGATCTAAGTCACTCTCTTTCAACAAAATGTTTACTCTGTTTAAAAAAATTACAAAACACAATCATCTTTTGAGGAAGAACAAGCTGAAGATCAATCCCAACAAGACAGAGGTCCTCTTGGTCAATTGTAAACCGGATCGGGGTATAGGGTGGCAACCTGTGCTGGACGGGGTTACACTCCCCCTGAAGTCACAGGTCCGCAGTTTGGGAGTCCTCCTGGATTCATCACTTATGCTTGAGGCTCAGGCGTCGGCCGTGTCCAGGAGGGCTTTTGCACAGCTTAGACTTGTGCGCCAGCTGCGACCGTACCTCGCAAAGGTTGATTTGGCTGGGGTGGTCCATGCCTTGGTCAC